CCATCCATCCACTCATCCATCCATCCATCCATCCACCCACCCATCCACCTGTCCATCCAACCATCCATCCATTTACCCATCCACTCATCCATCCATCCAACCATCTATCCACTCACCAACCCACCCACCTGTTCATCCACCCACCCATCTATCCACTCACCCACCCACCTGTTTATCCATCCATTCATTCATCCACCTACCCATCCATCTGCTCATCTATCCATCTGTCCACCTGTTCATCCATTCATTTATCTGCCTATACACCCATCCATCCACCCAATATCCATCTATTAATCCACCCATCTACCTACCCACTCATTCTCCCTTCTCCTTCCTTCCTTCCTTCTTTCCTTCCTCCCTCCCTCCCTTCCTTCCTTCTTTCCTTCTTTCCTTCCTTCCTTCCTCCACCTTTCCATCTTTCCAATCACTCACTGGCCATCTGCCTGCCCACTAAGCACCAATGCACACCTTAACTTATTACACAAACTACAGCATGGCTGTCAGTGAAATTCATATAGACAGTGATACCGTATGTCATTAACTACTATCCCAATTCGTCATGCTGCTAATTAGGACTAGACATAACAAACGAGCTCAACAAGAGTGATGACCTCAGCGAGCCCTCATTAGCCAAGGAGATACTGGGTCAAAACAAGTATAAGTGGGTCCCAGGACATTGGGCCGCCCCCCACACCACCACCAAGGGGCCCTCAGGCTGAGGCAGTCATGTGTCCCCCCAGTGGAGCCCGAGGTGAAGCTCATCGGCAACATCCACGGCAACGAGGTGGCGGGCCGGGAGATGCTCATATACCTGGCGCAGTACCTGTGCTCCGAGTACCTGCTGGGCAGCACCCGCATCCAGCGCCTGCTCAACACCACCCGCATCCACCTGCTGCCCTCCATGAACCCCGACGGCTACGAGGTGGCGGCCGCCGAGGTGAGCACTCATTCAGCTGCTGTCCACCGCCAACAGTTGGGGGGGTGGAGGGGGGGCGTGCGCCCCGGGCTGGGGGACGGGACGTCAGCAGGCGGCAGCATCGGCGAGTCCTGCTCGGGCAGAGGGACAGACGCTGAGAATCCGATGGCGTGTCACAGAGGTGATGCGCTCTGGAGAGGACGGAAGATGAGAAAGGGGGTCGAGCGGGCGAGTGCGCTGGCTGGAGGCTGGAGCTCTCGGACCTGCAGGAGGCGGGGAGCAGTGGGTAACGGTGGGGGGCACTCCAGGCTGGGAAGCAGCCAGTGCCAGGCCCTGAGGCCGGAGGGTCAGCAATGGGGCCGGTGGGAGGGGCCGGAGAGAGGGCAGAGGTCAAGCGTGGACATGCTCCCAAGTTCATCATGTAAACCAGAGAGAAGCCACGGCTGCCCCCAGAGGAGCAGGGTGGGGTGCTGACCCCAGCCAGGGGCCCTATGTTTCGGGGTGGCCTGTGCTTGGGGTGGCCTGTGTTTAGGGTGGCCTGTGTTTAGAGTGGCCTGTGTTTAGGGTGGCCTGTGTTTCAGGGGGCCCTGTGTTTAGGGTGGCCTGTGTTTCAGGGGGCCCTGTGTTTAGGGTGGCCTGTGTTTCAGGGGGCCCTGTGTTTAGGGTGGCCTGTGTTTCAGGGGGCCCTGTGTTTAGGGTGGCCTGTGTTTCAGGGGGCCCTGTGTTTAGGGTGGCCTGTGTTTCAGGGGGCCCTGTGTTTAGGGTGGCCTGTGTTTCAGGGGGCCCTGTGTTTAGGGTGGCCTGTGTTTCAGGGGGCCCTGTGTTTAGGGTGGCCTGTGTTTCAGGGGGCCCTGTGTTTAGGGTGGCCTGTGTTTCAGGGGGCCCTGTGTTTAGGGTGGCCTGTGTTTCAGGGGGCCCTGTGTTTAGGGTGGCCTGTGTTTCAGGGGGCCCTGTGTTTAGGGTGGCCTGTGTTTCAGGGGGCCCTGTGTTTAGGGTGGCCTGTGTTTCAGGGGGCCCTGTGTTTAGGGTGGCCTGTGTTTCAGGGGGCCCTGTGTTTAGGGTGGCCTGTGTTTCAGGGGGCCCTGTGTTTAGGGTGGCCTGTGTTTCAGGGGGCCCTGTGTTTAGGGTGGCCTGTGTTTCAGGGGGCCCTGTGTTTAGGGTGGCCTGTGTTTCAGGGGGCCCTGTGTTTAGGGTGGCCTGTGTTTCAGGGGGCCCTGTGTTTAGGGTGGCCTGTGTTTCAGGGGGCCCTGTGTTTAGGGTGGCCTGTGTTTCAGGGGGCCCTGTGTTTAGGGTGGCCTGTGTTTCAGGGGGCCCTGTGTTTAGGGTGGCCTGTGTTTCAGGGGGCCCTGTGTTTAGGGTGGCCTGTGTTTCAGGGGGCCCTGTGTTTAGGGTGGCCTGTGTTTCAGGGGGCCCTGTGTTTAGGGTGGCCTGTGTTTCAGGGGGCCCTGTGTTTAGGGTGGCCTGTGTTTCAGGGGGCCCTGTGTTTAGGGTGGCCTGTGTTTCAGGGGGCCCTGTGTTTAGGGTGGCCTGTGTTTCAGGGGGCCCTGTGTTTAGGGTGGCCTGTGTTT